AAGTCACGTGACAGAGAAAAGAGTGAAAAAGAGAATATTATATATAATATTATATAATTATACATATATACATATATGTATGTATATATTATATATGTGAATATATACCGTAGTCACGTGACCAAGGTCAGTGACCTTAGCGTTATATATATACAATATAATACATATACTACAATATAAGGGGTATAATATTATAAATATATAATAATTTATATACATATATAATATATATATATGTAATTACGTGACTGTAGTCACGTGGTGTTTTTTCTCTCTTTCCTGTTACGTGACTTTAAAACGTAAGAATATACTTTTGTTTTTTAGTGTTTTGTTCTGAAGTGATTTAGACTAAAACGAAAGTGATCGGTTTAGTCGTTCTTGAGATATTGCTCCATAAAAATCTCTTCACTTCTCAATCGCATGAATTTCGCGTATAAGAGACACTACCGTGCGTTTTGATATGTACGCGACATGAATCGAGAAACACATTCTAGAAACGTCCAATCAGCATCGAGATAAATTATTGCAACAGTCAATATCGAGAGAATCGATTGTGATTATTTACGCGCGCTTTTTCTGATAGGAAATGATATGTAGTGATAAATCACATTCAAAAAACAAAAAAGAAACAATAAATAACAAAATATATAATTAGAAAGTATAGGAAAAAAAAATAATACGCAAGTGTGTTGGTTCGTTGAAAAATTATATTTTTTCCATTCTGGCACGAATCGTAAACACAACATAATTTATAAATTAACGTACACAATCATGGTCAATAATTTATACAAGTGTTGTGAGCGTCATTGTTACAAAAGATAATGTACTTTTGTTTGGGAATTGGAGATCAAAATCTCTTCGGAGAGACAAGCTGCTTGTGTGCCATATTATGAGGGAAAGAGCAGACGAAAGATGAGATTCGAAACACTTTTTGATCACATCCAAGTCAAAGCGTAACAAATATATAATATATCGTTAACGCCACTTTTATAACGAATTCTGTATTTTATTACATTCTCTGCGAATGATGAAATTCTTTCTCTCCATCCTTCAGATCGATAAAGGAGTGTGTGACGGTACAAACTAAACGAGTGAAATAAAACAGAATGAAATAAAAAATTGAAGTTTCAATGGCGCGCTGGGCTAGAAAAAAAAAAAAAAAAGAATAGAAAGATAGGGAGAAAAAATAGACAAGGAGAAAGCTGGACTCGTAAACGGGATAACAAAATAAATAATAGAAGCATTAAACATGATTAATCACTTAACAACGTATAACTAGAGATAATAATAATATTAATAATAATTAATAATAATTAATAATATTAATAATATTAATAATAATAGAAATAATAATAATATAATTCATACGAATGGCTATACTTGTTAATAATTACAAGAACAAGTCTGGCACGGCGATCGCTTAACTGCCCGAAGACACGTCGAACGTGTTTGTGTGTGTTTTGTAGGTACTTAGATTACTACAAACTTATATATATGTATATGCAAGAGATTCTGTCAGTTTAAGGCTGAATTAATATGAGGAATAATGTCAAGTCAGAGGTCTCGATGCTCTTGCTTTTAAGATACACATCGGAAAAAAAACACAACAGAAAAATAAATTTACGAGTTAAGTAATCTCAGTGTCTGAATGACACTTAAAGTTATCGCACGTGCAATTATATGATTCCGAAGTTACATGTAATCACTCATTAATTTATTAAAAAAAAAAAAAATACGTAAAACAAACAAACTTATGAGTTATTATGTCGATTATAATGTCACGTTTTAGACTGGCAAGATTAATAAAGAATATAAAATCAATAATACAGCAGAGCAATAAACAATCTTGCTTTCGATATACGCGAGAAGAAAAAACACATTGTATGAATTTGTAACACGTAACAACTTTTGATATCTAAACAATATCAAATAAATTATTTCATACTCTCGTTTGAAATCGACACCGAATATTGATCGCGCTAATTCACACGATTCATCTACTTTACTTCTCAATTGTCGAGAAGCGAAATGACACACGTTTTGTCCTCGTTTCAACAGTTTTGAGTATTATATCGACTGAAGAACGAAACGCGAGTCAACGAGCCCTCCGATTCAACGATTTTTCCTCTCGTCGCAGACGAGATATAAACACCGCCTTCCAAGCATTTCGTTTGATCGAGCGGGCAAGTAAAATGGCAAGCAGAGAGCGACAATACTTTCTCCTTAATAGCTACTCACTCGTCCCATTCCTCTGGAAAAACGCTTTTTATATAATCGGTATAGGTAATTAGAAAAAACCCTCGATATACAAAAATACAGATATACGCACGATATACTCGTGCGCTTCGCGCGCATTTTGTGCGCCGATATCGGAACACGCTGATACCTTTCTTTTTCCGGCGGAGAAGGAATAGGAAGGATACATGTCGGGGAGAAATGTGTAATGAGTAATACGTACATACATACATACATATCTGTATACACCGTAACAGGTAAGGACGAAACAATCGAGGCTGATTTAAGCTCGAGTATTATGTTGGCGCGTGTATCGTTCAGCGAGTCACCACCAACACGACTATCGTAAACCTATCGTGGAATTGACACTTTTTAGAAAACGGACTCGTTTTTGCGGGACCGAGAAATCATAGATAGCACAATGCGCTATCGACACAGAAAAATCATTGTTACAAAGCGAATTTTCTTAAAAACGTATGAGCATTTCTTACATTACTTGCTTTGTTAATACATCACTTGCTTCATCGATTTATTTATCTTGTTCGATATTCTAATTTTTTTGTCGCCAACTTTTTTTCTTTGTCTCTTGTTTTCTTCATTCTTACGATAAAAGGATTGTGAATAGAGCTACGATCAGGTTTGCCGCACACTCCGATATAATATTAGTACGTCGGCCATTTATTCGGCTCGGCGACTTGATTCTCGCGGGGATCGTGGCTCGAGTATACTTAAGATTGTCTTCGTCGATTCACAGCGCAGAGAGATACCTGTCAGATTCGCCCTTGTTCGTATAAGCACCACAACCAGTTTCCGATTAATCGCGCCGCAACGACCGCTGCTCGTGTTCTCATTTAGTTTACGTAGGAAAATGTTTAAAAACCTCTCTCGATCGTGTCAATTTGAGCCCGTCCGTTCTTCGATAATGAAATGACGTTATCAAACGTTTTCGTTTTAATTAGCACATTCCGAGATAAAAGCAACCTGCGCTTCGAATTCACAGACGGGTTCAAAACCCTTTTGCACTTCAAATGCACTTCAATGTTCACATGTGTATGTGTGTGTGAACAGGAAAATATAAAAAAATATTTTTTTTTATCTCCTTATATCGGCGTGCGGTGCGATTAATTACAATTGTAATAGTTATAATAATAGAACGCGTAATAATAATAGTGTTAATAATATCTTTACTCACTAATTAACATTATATTTCTATACACTTTATTATGTTTTAACATTGAGTTTTTCCTCTCAATCTACAGGTACGGGTAAGTTCTTTTATTTTTCAAGCTGTCTTTATCCTTGCAAGCGATCGATTTTTTTCTTTTGACACAGCATTCATCGTAAAATGTTCATCACGCATAATAACGATCACACGATTACATTTATAACTATCGGTATGCTGTGAAGTTCTTGATCTTTGCTAAGGAAAAAGTTGTCTTAACAAGTTCTCGAGAGTTAACAACAATATTTGAGCAGATTTTGGGCGAATCGACGAGGTTTTTTAATGGCGACTCGCTAGTTTCATTGACACGTTGAAGAAATAAATATTGGCGATAAATAAGCACAACGCAACAGAGACAACTTTCTCCACATTGATTTAATCCTCTAATTAATCGACGTTCCGCCTCCCAGCAAGACTAAATGACAAGATTAGTTCTTCTGCTATTTCTCGCCAATAATTTTTTCTTCGTTCCGCACATTGTGTGGACTCAGCCGATAACACTTATCTTTAAACAGTGTCAAACTCTAAAACTGCACATGCGGGACGTAATGGATTCTTTCTGCATTTCTCGCTCGTACCTTCGATTAATCAACATTTAATTTTTGGCCACGTTACAGGCCACACACAGATAACAAGTACCACATCTCAAATTTTTAGCTAAAGAATTTATATAAAAATAAGAAAGATAGATGTAACAATTATGTCAACATTACGGACTCCACTAGATCTCGATGTGCAGTTTATTGGAGTTTTACACACACGTATTAGTTGTGTTGTCCGAAATGTTTGCCTGAAGAATTTGGCACCTGCATTTGCGTTGTCGATAGACTATATATATGTATATGTTTAGTTTTCTCTCCACAGTTAACGTTGAAGAATTAGGAGTCTTTGACGAAGAGATAACGCGCGAGATATGATCGATATATGTACATACGGTATTAGCGGACACGTGATCGTTTGACGAACACGATAAAACACGATTCGACTCTGACGCCGAGCCTTTAAGCACAGCTTCCATATATATTTCCGTGCACCGCGCTATATTTGCGCGGTCGAAAACAGGAATGCTTCATACTTTCAACTTGCGTACGCCTTAATTTAATGCAACGAGAGAGAGACAGAGAGAGAGCGCAAGATATACAAAGAGAGCAGCCGGATAGATTATTATCTCTTTTTTTTTAACAGAACGATTAAAGAACATCCGAGAACACAATCTTCGAAAATTGACCACAAACGGAAAAAACGGAGAAAAAACTAAAGTTTTTAATCTTAAATCTTATATATCAAAACTAGGAACTTAAAAAGAGGCATTTTCGAGAAATTATATACAATATATTAAAATAAACTACATATATATGTATACGTAATATAATGTTACATTCTATACATGTAACATTATATACATACGTATATGTGAGTCAAAATAAAAAGAATACATTTGTGAAATGAAAAATTTGATCTAAAAAGTGGCATAAGTACATTGATAATAAAAAAAATAAATTAGTAATTAACTAATATGTGTATATTAATATTTATATATCAATTTAAATTAACATAAACTTGCATATGTGTAAATTGTTTTAACAGTAGCGTTTTGAGTACGTTTTCAAAAAAATCGCACTTCTCTCGGATCGTTCTCCACTCGAACTGTGTGCAATCACGATGTCAAAAAGTGATTAGCACAATATACAATTTGCAACAATTTTAAAGAATAAAACGCGAACCACGGAAGAGAAATCAGATGGAAGCAGAGATTAAAGAAGTACGATAATACTGTTCGGCATTGTTCGCTGTTGACGCATCGCAATCAAAATGCGATCGCGCATGATGAATGAAAGAATAATGATTTCTAGGCAATGTGTGTGACAGACCACAGGCAAAAAATCATTTATTTTCTTGATAAATAATACAATATAATACTCACGGAAGCGAAGCTTTTACTCACCATCAGCTCTCCCAACGCTTGGAAAATGCGAATTTGACTCTTTCGCTGAGAAGAATACGTGTAAGAAAAGATTTTATAATATTAGAAATACAATTAAAGAGACAAAAAACTATTGTAATAATCTCAGAACAAAATATTCACTTTGCTAACGCAGACACAAGTTATAAATAATAATAATTTTCAATATCGTAAAATGTGCGCACACTTTTATCTCATATAATAAAAAAAAAAGAATATAAATATTTATCTAATTACACGTAATAAATAATCAGCAAATTTTCGCATAAATCGCATAATGTTAACGACTTGTTTAATATCAGCATGCAAAATTTCGTGCAAGAAAAACAGTTTTAACGTGGCGCAGCGAAAGAGTAAAATTAACGCGTCTAGCTGCAATCTCTTCCAAGAGCCGTTCTATAACATCTTAACCTTGATCACAGACTCTCATTAGCGTCCAGCGAGATCTCCAGGAAATCGAATTTCGACAGCAAAACAAATACTCCCTGCCACTGATCCCGTTCCACCAAATCGCGATTTCTTTAAGTCTTTTTAGCGTTCGGCTGACGTCACAAAGGTGACCGCTCGCGATGCACGGCGACTTCGTTCCTTCGAAGCGTTTCCACGGAGTCCTGATCGAGTTGCAAGGATTCCCGACGACTCTCGATCAATCCTGCCGCGATATCCTCGTTGAAACCTGGAGCTAGAATGCAGCCAAGATCATCCGACTGGCCGTCGTCATTCGGCCTTGATGACTGCCGATGGCGTGGCCGCCACGTTCTGGCCGAAGGTAGGACATTCTTCACCAGCAAGTAGACCGGGTTCGATCTTCGGAGTGGGACCGTCCGCGCACCGATTGTGAGTTTTGAGGTGCCTGGTGATCATATCCCTGCGACAGGCCGCGTAAGCGCATTGCGGGCACTTGTACGGTTTCTCCCCGGTGTGAGTTCGCTGGTGTGTACTGAGATGGTCGGATCTACTAAACACTTGCTTGCAGATCCGGCATGTGTATGGTTTGACGCCGGTGTGAAGTCTCATGTGCCGAGTCAACATATCCGACCTGGCGAAACTTCGATTACATACATCGCAAAGGTACGCCTTCGCCGAAGCGTCGTGAAGACCCTGCCGACGGTGCCTGGATGCCATGTGCTTCGCCAAACGATCATGTAGACTGAACATTTGACCGCACTCCGGACAAACGTAAGCCAAATCCGTACCTGGCGCCATTTCCTCGACGACGGGTTGAACTTCCAAGTTATACCGCACCGCCACGCTCTCTTTAGTAGTGGGTGACGCAACATCGCCCCTAACCACAGGCACACTGACGGAACCCCGCGTCACAACGCCGGGCGGTAGAAGTTGAAGAGCTGGTAACTTCGCGGAAACAGCTGCGGCAGGCTGCAACATCAAGTTCTTCATAGAGAGATCCAACGGCGACTCTTGCGGACTCGTGCCGTCGCTCTCGAGGGATCCACTTCGCGGCGGATGGCTTACATCGGAGGAAGAGGAGGTCGATGCGGGCAATCTCGTGTCGTCCCACTTAGGAACAACGTCCGAGTCGGAGTGACTGCGACCGCGGAAAGTGTCGTTTGATGGCGACAAAAACTTCTGCTGGAAGTACTGCTCGAAGTACATGTGATAGTTGTATACTGTGTCTATGCTGTTGTACGAGAAACTGGATCGCGACAGCGGAGTTTGCAGAGATGTCGCCGACGGCAGCATTATCGCCATCGACGCCGTGACAAGCGACTGCGAGCACTGACTGCACATGCACTTATGGTTCTGATAAGGTGAGTAACGTTGATGATGATGGTGATGATGATGATGATACGAATACGACCGGTGAGGACGATGCGGGTAATGCTGTCGTGCGCCCTCGTTTAGCTCCTCTTCAACCGAAGTGACCGACTCCGTGTCTCGCCTAAGGGGTAGTTGGCCCAATATCGGGGTGGTGTCCACGGCGGATCGTGAGGACGACGACCTAGGCGAGCCGAAAACATCCTCCTCTTCCGACGCGGGACCGTTGCCCTCGAATCTCAACACCTCGCCCTCGGATGGCGAGCTCCGATGAGCCTGCAACGTGTCCACCACCTGTTCCAACCGTCTCCGTTTCTTGCGCGGATTCCGATGATTACGATTGGCAGTCGCCGCAAGGGTGTTATTATTTGTACAAGGTGGCGGCTTGGCCGGGCCCGGGGGCGCGGCTGCGGCGTCCTCCACAGCGCTCTCGGCCATCGTCATCGAGGATGCGCGGCACCCGCCGCCTGGGCCCCTTATGCCACCTACGATACCTTCGGCTACCACCGTACTGCCTCCCACCTCGTCCTGAAACAGTCAAACGATCACAATAGAAGTTAACGAAAGTACGTGCATCAACCTTGGGTTTCGCAAAAGTTAATTTCCATCGGTTACGAACTAATTTTCGAGAAAAACCGCTCTCGATATATTACTTGACAAATCTGAGTGCCACAGAGATTATATAATATTTTGTTGACGTAACTCTGTTGTGAACAACGCTGGATTGAAAATGACAGTAATTGACGTAGCGACATTTAGGTCGGCGAAGTTGGGGTTACGCAGGTGCTAATAAACGATGACTTAATGCAATGATACGTGACGTTATTTACGATAGCGCTAAGTGCGGCTACGTGATCAACGATAATATTACGATGATGCAGAAATAAAATACTTCGTAAAAGCTAAGTTTAACATAATCACCACGCAGCGCGAATATTATTACTGGTTGTATTAAATAAGTCAAACTTTTGAAGATATAATTACGTATCTGTGCGATTATAAATATACAATTATGGAAATAGCAGCTTATTATATCTGTGCCACTGGGTTGATAAGAGTGACAACATACAGGTTAACAAATAAATAGGTTAATTCTTTTAAAGTAAAAAGAAATTAACATTTAACGTGAGTTTATCGCTACTGACGAAATGCTAAATTATGTCTGACATTGTTGCCGCATTAATCAAGATTGTGACGGGATGCCAAGCAGAGACGATCGTTCGAGTAGAATCTTACAGATCCCGAAAGAACAGGTATGCCGTGCGAACAGGTGTAGGCTGTGCGAGACTCGTCTCGGCGATCGAGGTAACCGAGACCACCTGGGGAGCGGGGGAGACGACGATGAAAAAGCGTCGAGCTGTCGTAACGAGACGCGATTAGAATATTCGTCGCGTTTCTGCGCCGCGATATCGGTCGGCCATTTGTCATTAGCGTCGTGGCCGCCATTAAGAGCCGAGAGACGATCGCCTCTACGGCGAGATCGCGCTCGATGCCGATTATCCTGGCGCGGCCGCGTTTCGATCGATTCGCGGCTATAACGGAACTTTTTTTTCAACGTTCTCGATAAAAGGAACCTCGCCCGCTTTGCAAATAGCCGGTATCGACGCTTATTGATGGCAACATGGCCGTTACTGGGGAAATTTAATTAAGAACGGAAGAGATCTGTCACGGGGTAATTAATTCGTACGTTCATTAAAACACGCCACCACTGTGTTTCCGAGAGAATCAAAGGAATCATTTCGTCGTATCCTCGACGACTTTTATAATAAAGAATACACGATGTAAATAATGACGTGCTATATCTTTCGTTGGTGTGAATACGGAATGGAAACAAGATTTTTTGACCGGCGACCCAATTCCCACAAAGCGAGCGGGCACGTGGGATTTTTTTTTCATATTTATTTTAATCCACCAATGGACCACCACCGCTCGTCATGTTCGATGTGACAACGGCACTTTGTCACAAGACCGCACGGTGTAACTCGATAGGTGTGTATCCGCTGAATATTTGAAATTTAACCGGTTAACTGGCAATGTATCATATATGCACAAACAAAAATCTGGCCAATTCTGCTTATGTATCATATATGCACACTTGGAATAACTTTCTAGATTTTCAAACGATTTGAATGAAACTTGGTATGTAATGGTTTTTGGGGTCGCTGAGTCTGAATTTGACATTAGAATTGTAAAATTCAATATGGCAGACTCAAAATGGCCGACCCAAAATAGCTGCCAAATGTTAAAATATTATCGGGATT